ACCAGCTGTTCCACAATATCCAGCGCTTGGCGACGAGTGGCGCTTCGCAAGAAGATGGCTGGCCACTCCCCAAGCTACAGCCTGGCGATCAACATTCAAAACAACCTCGACATCGGCAACAGCGAACGAAGGGTCGGGCCCCGGGTCCCAGGGCCTCGAATCCCTTTCAGACGTTCAGGCTGGGAAGTGCTATGCACTCGGGGCCGTCTGGGGCGTCCCGATAGGCACAGGGCCCCCTGATGCTTCGGGCCAACCGCCCAGACTCAACACGATCTACAACCGCCCGCCCAGCTCGGGCAACAGAAAGTACATAGTCATCAAAGCAGGATCCGTCGCTGCAGCGACGGACCCCGCTTCTCCTGAACAGAGACGGGGCCGCGAAGCCCTGCCAGCGCAAATTCATCTCTGGCCGCGCCGCAGGCCCGCCGGCGACACGGGGAGGGGCCGTCCAAAGGGAAGAGAAGAGGGGGTCAGAGGGCCCGCGGTGGAGAGCGAGAGGGCGAATTTCCTCATCCTGACCCTCTCTCAGCCTCAAGCCAAAAGCGCTCCCAGGTACGGTGGAAGATGAAGTCGAGGGCGCCGCGCTTCGGGGGCCTTCCGTCAGCGCGGCGTGCCCAGCCTTTCAAAGTCGGCCCGGCGGGGTACCTCCCTGTAAAAAACCCATGGGTGCATTCGCTTATCATTCTTCTGGAACTTCGCGCCCCTCCGGAGCGCCCCAGGGCCCAGGGGCCAGAGCCCTCTTTGGCGGCCCCCCCGGGCCCGAAAATCTGAAGTTCCAGAGCGGGCGCCAAAAATGCCAGACATGGGAATTGCACAGCTCTCCAGAGCGGGCGCGAAAAGTACCAGAAATGGGACTTGCACAGCGCAGGTATTTTGCAATCTCCTCGGCTACAAGATCTGGCGGGGAGGCGGTCGCAAGGCGATGGGCGCCGCCCGCTCCCGCAGAGGAAAGAAAAACAAACAAAAAAAACTGCACTTGCCCGTTCCCGACCTGCCTCTCCCGACGGCAGATGCACGTCCGAGAGGGGGCCCGAGACCCTCTGCAACTAGGGCGCCGACAGGAGGGTCTGTTCCGCGTGCCTCTGGGTGACCTGGGAAGACCTGGCGGGCCCCTTCTCGCGTCGCCCGCTCGCCTGCGCCGAGTCGGGGCCCGTCGCCTGCCGCCGTTCATCAGCGCGTCGCTTGATGGCGCCCGCTGCTCTGCGAAGCGGATCTGGATCTGGGCGAGGCGGCCGCCCGACAGGCCTAGCGCCTTAGCCCCTGCTCGACGCAAGCTTTTGATCCCACCTGGGGCGCGCCCTAATGCGTCGCCGCCGCGCGTGGCCGATGCTTGGGCCCCTGCACAATAAATGCGATACCTTTTTCTGTGCGATGGCCTCTTCTTGTTCACCAGCTTTTTGGAGCGAGGGCTGATGGCTGAAAACCCCATCCAGCCCGATGCGACCATGCCCTGGCTGCCGTCGGCGTCTTCCCGGGGCGTAGGCCGCGCGCAGCTTGCGAATGGAAGATTCTGGCCTGCCTGCAAGAGGCCCAGGTGCAGCTCGGCCAACCCTCGCGAGTTCGCGCGACGAGCCAAGGGCGCATGGTTTCTTCGCCGCCAGCTGAACTCCCAAGGCGTCCTTCACCATCTGCGCCAGACTCGCTGCCCTATCACACATGGACCTAACGCGCGAATGACATGACGACGCCGCAACATTGAGCCCATGGGTGCGCGCGCCGTGGGCGCATCGAGTCACGAAGAACATCTTGGCCTCGCACGCGGCCGCCCCAGCTCCCGCGACGACGCCCCCCCCCCCCCCCCCCCCCCCCCCCATCGAAAATCAAGCGCGAGACGAGCCCAGCTAGCGCGATGCGGCGCGGCCATGCATACGAGATCACACTGCGCCGCATGGCTGACATAAAGGGGAACTGCACGGGCGACGCCACATGGGCCACAGCTCGCGATGCGACGCGTGCTCATGAGACCGCTGGGAATCCCGAGACAACGAAAAGACGTGTCAACCGTCCTGCACGAGAGCCTCTCATCGAACTGCCTGGCGCCATACCGCGTCAAAAGGGTCTCGCCCAAATGCCGCGCTGAAGCGCGGGGGCCTGCCGCGCGATCCCACGGCCTGCTTCAATGCGAGACCGCTCCGCCGTGCAATCTGGCCGCGCTGGCGGAGAATTCAGCGGTGCGCCCGCCCGACTCGGGCACCCGAAAAATTTGCAAAATCACTTGCGCAAGATTGCTCGGCGCATTTCCCGTCGCGTTCGTGGCAACGGATACCCCAGCGAATGCCATGAGAGCCGGCTCACGCATCCGCGAACACTGTCTAGGTTTTATGGCGCTCATTGCTGTTGCGCGCGCCTTGACCTCTGCTGAGGTTCTCGTCGACAGCTCTAGACTCGCGCGCGGCGGGGCAATCGCCCCCGCTCCCAGAAAACTGGTTGCATGTCTAGCCTCCCAAAAACTTTCCCATACTTCTTGCTGCTGCAGCAGAATTCTGCCGAAGGAAGCCGCGATAATGCAGTCGGCCCTCGCGTGGACCTCCTCGGCAGTAGGCGCAATGAAGCCTGGCGTGACCACGAGCCCCCCCCCCCCCCGCCATTGCCCAGTGCCCCTTCGCGCCAAGCAGCCCTGCCTGCAGCTTGCTTCTCCTTCGACATGCCAAGCTGCGATTTCTCTGCGAACGTCGAGAGCGCAATTCAAGTAGAAACGTGATCGTGCAAATGCGCATCGCGCCGCGAAGCATCCGGCAAAACCACAAAAAAAAACCGTGCGATAAGTTACTCGCGCAGAAGGTGCCGCGCTGAATCAGCGCGGTCTGAGGTGTCTCGACTCTTGCAATCTGGGGCGCATCCAATGGAGACCTGCCCTTGGCCGAGGTCCGTCGCGTTGCCTGGCCGCCGGGGAGCATGAGTGACCTCCTGGCGGTCTGAACAAGGGCCCCATCCAGGGAACATGTTGGGACGGGGAACGGCGCGCGTGAGCTGCTGGATCTCCTCCCGCCCCGCGCCGGCCCCGTCCCCGCGCGCGGAGTCGAGCAACTCCTGCGCTTGCCTTCTAGATTGCCCAAAACTATGATGGACCTGACCGTCGTGGGCGCGCTAATCTATGAAGGCATCAAGCAGGTTGATAAGACGCGAATAGTCGGGCGGCTCGCCGGTCGGACAGTTTCCTGGCTGTGTCGGAATTGTCGCATATCGAACGACACGGACAGATGGATGTAGCCGAGAGGATACTGACCAACGTGGCCCAGGAACAAGCGTGATCAATACTTCCATTGCTGCGTCACTTGCTAGATCCTCCGGCGATCAACGACCAGGAAATAGTCTACGTTGCCGATACCTTCTCTTCCAACAGGAATTAAAGGAGGGGAAGATGCATCAAACCTGGCACTCCCTGCCGAAATATTCGGATTCACGCCTCCTCTCAATCCTCCTGGCAGTACGTCCCAATCTCCTCCAACAGTGCACGTCACACCTGTGGACATGATATGCTGGCCAAGACGTTGGACGATGGAAGGATTTGCCCCGCTGGGTTTGATGCTGTCCTGCATGCAGACAAAGTCAAGCGATATAGTTCCAAGCTCTGCGTCTATTGTTCGTAGGCAACATTGACAGTGGCGACGATGCATCACACTCGGCCCCCTGCGCAAATCGGACCAGAATGCAAATACCTCCGCATGAATTCATTGCCTTGCCGGCTGCACTTCGGCGTTCCCCAGAAACTATCCCAACCCAGCCCTAAAAACCTGCGGTGTACGTCGCCTTGTTTTTTTTTTCCTGGGGGGCCATAAGGACCAGGCGCGTGATTATCTGTCACCCACCCATGGGCTCGAAAAGCCCCAGGCTGGTTCTCCTGGTACTGCCTATGTTCCTCCTTCAGCTGGTCTGTCACCGCCTCCTCCTCCTCCTCCGACGGGGGCGGGTGCAGGCTCTGGCGATGGTGGCGCAAACTCCTGTACCGCTCGAGGCTGGGCCCGGAGATGTATCCTGGCCACCTCATTGGGTATGCTGGGCACCAAAACCTCCAGCTGAGAGAGAAGCCAGCGGATCGGGGTGATGAGGACCTGCGGCGGCGGCTTGTCCAGCGTAGCTGCTTTCTGCGCCTCCGCAAGATCACCCAGCTCACTGTCAATATGTGCTTCCACTTTGCCGAATTGATTACGAATCTCCTCCGGCTACGCACACAAGCGTTCCTTACGATCTTCAAGAGTGCTGATTGTTGTTCACGCCTCTTGATGTCTTGTTCCTGCTTGAGCAGCTGCTTACTTATGGGGGTGGTGGCCTTCTTGGCCTCGCGTTGAGACCCCCATGCGTCTGCAAAGGCCTTAGCAACTTCGGGGCCCAACGGGTGGCTCGGGCCCTGGGACATCTGAAAGACTCGGCGGAGTTCACTGCGGCTCTACAGAGCGGGGAGGGCGACCATCACGACCACCCTTTTCCCCCTCCTTCTTGCCAAAGCCACTTCCCGCCTTTGCCACCTTTACCTCCAGCTGTTCCTCCGCCAACCCCTTCTCCTTTGCAACCTCCAGCCTCCCAGTGAATCCATGGCTGCGTCTTCCGAGCACCTTGGGGTCCAGGAGGCACAGCAGCAGCAAGATCACGAAGGGGAGACATACCATGATAGCCACAATGACAGTGGGTCGGGCTCCTCTTGCACCCGCATGCTGCACAGGTAACTTGGCCTCCGTAGTAGCCATGACTGCCACCAATGGGTCTGCAAGCCATCCGCCTTCGCTCCGAAGGTGTTCGGTTCAACCGGTACGGAATGCGTCGGGCGCCCCCTCGATGCTTGTCGCAATGCGGCGGAAACCTCCAAGCTCGAGCCCCCGCGAGACGGGGTTCGAACTTGAGCCAAAATGGACACGGCCTCCTCCTGCTCCTCGTTTGGCTCCTCTTCCTCCTCCTTCTCCTCCTCCTCCTCCTCCTCCTCTTCCTCCTCCTCCTCCTCCCCCTCCTCCTTCCCCCGCCGTCACCGATGTAGAGAAGAGCAAAAAGCGGCAAGGCGGGCGCACACGCCGCCCTCCCAGGGAGTGTCCGCGGGGCCGAAGACGATGGCGGTCCACTGGAACAGGTCGTCCCCGACCTCGGCAGTACCGGCGGAGGAGGAGCTAGTGAGGAGCGTCCTGGATGAGGGGCACCTTGGCGGCGCGCACAAGGGGGTTAAGGGAGGGGGGAGGGCTTCTTAGAAGGAGGCTGCTTCTCAGAAGGCGCCGGCCTTACATGTACAAATGAGGCCCGCGCCTTCTAGGAAGCAGGGGGGCTTCTAAGAAGCCCTCCCCCCTCCCCCCACCCCCCTCTGCGCGTGGCTGAGCAACGTTTGGGGGGGGACCAGCGCAAAGGGGAGGGGGGGGGGAGAACGTCGAGTTGGAATCCGCGGGGCACCGCCGGCACGTCGGCGATGTGGGCCGCGACTGCGAATCAGCACGCTCCCGGGCGGGGCGGGCCGCGGGTCCCCTCCTCGGCGATGAGGGGGCGGCTGGGGAGTCGATGAGCGGGCCCCCGTGGTCGAAGTGGTTGCAAATACCACCAAGACCCCCAGGAAGCCCCAAGAGGCCCCCACGAGGCTTCCAAGCGGCCCCTAAGAGCTTCCCAAGAGGCCCACAAACTACCCCCAAGAGGCCCCCAAGAGCGCTCGTCGTCGTCGTCGTCGTCGTCGCCATTCAGGGTCGGCGGCACCGGCCGTAAGGCCTTCGCAATAACACCAAGTTGGCGCTCCCGAAGCTATGAGCCCGCCACAGGGAGGCTGCCCCAAAGCCCTCTCCCGCTCTCCAGGGCAGGACATCTCTGATGTTCTGTGTGTTCGGGGAGTGTCGTGCGCCCAACGTCACCCCACGTTGCCCGAGACATAAAGATCGGGGCTCGAGCCGCAGCTGCGAATCAAAGACAACCCAAGCCGCACGAGTTTACCAAAGATGCCATCAAGCACCCGCGCCCAATCGCTCGAAGAGGGATTCGAATGCACAGTGCGAGAAGAACGCTCCGAGAAGGAAGCAGATCGTCCACCGACAGCTCCGGCATCTCAGGGTGCTTGCTGATTAACTACCCATTGCCCTCGCATGATATCGCCAGACGTCTTCAAACGGCGCCGATACGCCTCAGCATAGCTCTGATACATCAAACTGCGATACAGGGGGGGGGCCGGCGGCCGAGACCGAAACCCATACGGACAACAAGATACGCAACCGCAGCACATAGAATACCACATGGCACCAGCCCCGCAGCACCAGCCCACAGGGCACCAGGAGAAAGCGACGAAGCACAGCAGCTTCAACATCATGGCACACCAGACACCTGGCACCAAGCTCGGGGAAACGAAGCAAGAAGGAGCCAGACGGTTCCGGAAATCCGGAACCCAAACATCGTGAGCCTGGGCAACCAGGGGCCGTTGGTGCGCGGCGCAAGGGGACCCAGAGTACCCGAACCCAGGCGCGCAATGCTCATGGGGGCCCGATTCGGGGATGGACAGACCTCCCTTTAGTAAAACGTGGTTTAGTGAAAACGACCTGAGGCCCAAATCTGGCGGGCGCAATCCTGGAAAATAACGGCCACGGCGCCCTCTCGAAAACCGAAAACGGACAATTCACTAATCGACGTGTCACTGTTGGGGGTTCTGTCCACCCCCGACCGATGCGCCCGCACCAAAGGCCACCCCGGCGAAAGGCCACTCCGACGCGTGGCCAACATCCCTTCGGGGCGCACCTTTGACTTCCGCCGGCCTCCGCCGGCCCTCCCGCCGGCGGAGCGCCGCTCTCGCGTTATGCCTCCGCCGGCTCCCGCCGAGGAGGTTGGCCACTCCTTCGGCCCTCGCAGGCGAGGAAGCCCTTGCGGGAGCGCCTCGTGTACAGTCGGGGCGTTGACCTAAGGAACCCTAAATAAGGAACGAGGCCCCTTTCTTCCACAAGTTACACTGGAAATTTCCGATCGAAAACATGAGGAACACCTGAGGCAAGCTGTGAAACACTTAAGGAACACGGAGCCCCTCCCCAACGAAAAGGGTTCCTTCTTCAGGGCCCCGACTGTAGACGTCTGGCTGCGAGAAGGCGCGTGCGGCCCGTGCTGCGAGCCCGCCGAAAGCGGCGATGGCGCCCGGGCTCTGCGGAGGTGCCGTCGAGGCAGCGACGGCGCACGGCGCGGGGAGTGCCAACTGGTGCGCCGCGCCCCGTCGGCCGCCCGTTGGCGGAGCGAGCAAGTGCGGCGCGCTGCGCGGCACTGGTCGGAGAGATGGAGAGACAAAGACAGATGGCCTTGCACCCCTAGATCCCTTCCTCCTTCCGCGCTCCTCCTTCCCACCTCCGCTCCTCCTGCTCCTCCTTCTCCTCTTCCACGCTCAGGGCTCGAAAGCAAAGCACCCGACCACTCTAGCTCCAACATAGCCTAACGAACGCCTTGAACGTCTCTACTCCGCAATGGCGTAGCCCACTTGGATGAACAAAGATGGGATGGCGGCCAAGGGTAACTCTGAAGAGCGGGAGCGAGGGTAACATTCAAAATAATCTCCAAGAGTGAGAAGAAGAATGAGAGCGAAATAATACCTCGAGTGGTGCCGTGACTATGCGATGAACGTGGTGAGGTGAAGGAGAGAGTGGACAACAAAGGCGCACCTGATTTGCGCATGCGAGCAGCGCGTCAAAATCTGTATATGGTAACCTGTTTTCCCATGAGAGGACAGACAGAGAGGAAAGGCAACGCGGTTCAGCTAGGATGACGAAAGTTGCCAGCTTCCCAACTGATGGGGAGCAGTCTCTACCATGTTACAGACGGCAAAAATATATTTGTGGGTGCAACACGCCCAGGGAAAAACTGACTGTACCATCTTGGTACGTCGGACACCTAACAGCAAGCCTGCCTACTAGGTTCGGTTCCACCGACACCAAATAATGACAAGGGTGTGCCGTGGCAGCCGCAGCTGGAGCTGCTGGGGGACCATGAAGAGGCGTCGTAGCATCGAGTGCATTGCTACGCATCCTCACTCCAAACACGTGTTTTGAACTGGATGGGCGGGTCAAAACGTCGGCGCTCGAAACTAGGAGCGCATGGCCCTGCACAGTACGATTCGCACTTCGGATACCGAATCACCCCCGTCCACATGCAGGACGCCCAGCTCAATCAGTGCGGAGAAGAGGGGCAAAAGCAAACGGGGGGAAGAGGACTGACGGAGTCCAGGAACATTTGATCGGCCGCCTCCAGCCTCTCCACCACGGGCATCCACGGTCACCCTCCCCCTCATCCTCCCCGCCGGGGACGGCTTGGCATCCTCCGGTGCCGTGCGAGTAACTTTGCCTCGGGCTGTCGTCAACAGCTGCGCGCTCTACACGCCTTGGATCCGGGCCGTGCCGGCGCCGGTGTAGGCGTGCCGGCGCAGCTCCTTTCAGCGCCGTCCCTTGTCACTTTCCTGCTCTGGCCCCCCTGCTCGGTCCACGCTTCTCCAACTGCTGCGTCTCCTCTTCCTCATCACTCTGGTCTTCCTAATCATCCCCGTCCTCGTCATGCTCCTCCAACTCCTCGCCCTCTTCAGGCTCATCATTATCCGTCTCCCTCTCATCCTTCCTCCAGGGGAGGCAGTGATAAAGGGGAATGCAGTGGTTGGAAGACTGGGTTTTGGGGAGGCCACCAGGAGTTGCACGTTCCCTTTAAGCAGAGGGAGAAGAGGGAGACACCATGAGGGGCATGAGGGGGACGATCAGGACACCAGGAGGCCGAGGAAAGTAGGGTATTGCACGCCACAACAAGGCGTGAGGACAACTTGGATTGCATGCCGTCTCCGCTTCCAATTTCTTCGCAGACTTCCGATCCTCGTGCATGCAAGGAGGCTGGATATATTGGAGGTTTGTAGAGATCGAGATTATCGAGGAGCAGGAGGAGGAACAGAAGGAAGACGAGGAAGACAAGAAACAAGTAGGACACGTCAGAACGCCAGCAGGAGCAGGAGCAGCAGAAGGAGCAGGATGACCAGGGGAAGGCGGGAACAAATAAGAAGAAGAAAAACAATAAGAAGAACAAGAAAAAGAGGGCGACAACGACTATGAAGCACTTGGATCTAAACTGTTGCATGCGGTGGTGCGAGAGCGCCACTCTGAATGACGGGAGCGAAACGCCGATCCTTAAGTGAGGCCAACGCTGCAGCGATAGCGCAATTCTGAAACACCGAAAGCGTTTCGATTGAGACACACCGTATGAACAAATGTTGAAACACTGTGAGAAAACATATACACGGAGAGAGCGGGATATTTTCGGTACGTAGTCGGAGGAGGAGGAGGAGGAGGAGGAGGAGGAGGAGGAGGAGGAGGAAAGGGACGGGGGGGAAGATGATAAGAACGAGAAGGGAGGAGGGTGCCAACCCTGGCTGAGGCTGGCCACAGAGACGCCGATCCGTATGTCAATGAACCAATCCCGATGCACGCGTGTGTTGTCTGCACGGATTGGTTCCATGGACGGATCCGTGACCAGACGGCCGACCTGTCTCGCTCTGCCCCCCTCCCTATCGCTCCTCTTCTCGGTATTTCTGTTGGCGGGTATGGGAGTCATGCCCGGGCACGGCCGAATCTGGATGTAGCAGGTATCCCCCGCCACCGTCCTCGTCATCCTCCTGATGCTCTATCTCGCTCTCCTACTCCCCTTTCACACGCTGGCGTCACGCGTCCTAGGCTCACCGGACGCCCAGCATGCAGGAGGAATCGCTCCTGGAGGCTCTGTCTTTTTTTGTCTGTCGCTCTCTCTCTCTCTCTCGCTCTATATCTAATTATGCGAAATGCCAGGCTCAGTATACAAGCTACCTGGGGTCGTCTCTGAAAGCTCAATCTGTCCGCACGCCCTACATGACACAAACCATCTCCCTGGCAGAACTGAGAAAGCGGATGATTGCAGATGGAGGCGGTGCGCGCGGAGGGGAGAAAACGGCCGCAAGGATGAGAACAGGAGGAGCAGCCACAAATGGAGTAGAAGATACATGTCCCCACGCGGAGAGAGAACACCCGGAACATACATGTCCCCAAAGCGGAGAAAGAACTCCTGGGCACGCGCCCGGGGAGCGAAAACGGGGGAGGGCTGGAGACCACATCTGGAGAGAGCAAGCGCCCCCCCTTC